TGTGTGTGTCAGTGTCAGTGTGTGTGTGTGTGTGTGTGTGTGTGTGTGTGCGTGCGTGCGTGCGTGTGTGTGCGTGCGTGCGTGCGTGCGTGCGTGCGTGTGTGTGTGTGGGGGGGGGGGAATTGAGGGGGCGGGGATGGGGCGCGCGGGCCTGTCATCTGGGGCAGGGCCTCCTCGCCCCCCCATCGGCCGGGACAGCGTGGGCAAGAGCCGACTAGTCCCCCCGGACTCCCCAGTGGCTTAGATCGGCGGCGAGCCCAGGAGGCAAGGGAGGAACACAAACACAAATCGTCGATCCCCAGGAGAGTATGAGGAAACATAATGGAAGTGGAGGGGAAGAACGAGCATCTAGAACATCTGGAAACCCATGGGGTTTTTTGGATGTTTATGTTTGTTTATTTGTGCGTCCCTGGGCTCCTGTAAGGAGGGAAGCGACGGGGCAGACCTCCTCACAAGGCGGCGGGGCTTCTCAGAGGCCCTCGCGCCTTCCGTGAAGCCTCGTGAGCCTTCTGCGCGGCCACGGGCGGCTTTGCAGTTAGCGCAAGGGCTTCTGAGGAGGCATCCCGCTCTCGCGTCACCCTGGGCCCGCCGCCGACTAGAACATACACACGCCCGATCCTGTGGGCCCAGGACGATCGCCCGCCCAGGATCGGTCAGGCGGTCGATCCCAGAGGCCCGACGCCTTGATTTGTCCAACCCCGAGGCCACCAGAGCTCGCCTCTCCTCGTCTTCGCCTTTGGGGTCCTCCCAGGAGGCCCCCTTCGCCACCGCTGGAGTCGACTCGAAAATTTAGTCAGAATGCATTCCACGAGAGGTCTGGGGAGTGCGGCATCAGTATCAGAGTATCAGTGCAGTCGGCTCTGATTGGTGGGTCGACCCTGCCAAATCGAGGGTACCCTTGCGTCCTGCTTTTCGCGACCAGTGCCTTCTGCATTCCTATGGCAAGGTGGCCCTCGGGAGGGTCCTTTGTCCTCTCGCGTGTCCTCTCCAATCAAGTCCGACTGTATCTGTTGGTTTCCCACCAGCCCCTTTCCTGAGGGCCAGCGCGCTGCAGCTTGCTGAGCCGGTCTCTGACTGCCCTGGGGCTTGGTGAAGGCCCCTGGGCCGTCACCACTGGGAAGCCTTCTCTGGCATTCATTCGGAGAATACATCGAAAGCATTTCAGAATGCCGCTGGCCTTCTGAGTCTTCTGAGAAGAACCATGTTTTTTCGCAACGTCGACCCCCAGAGGTCTCGACCTACTCCTTGGAACCAGCTTTTCATCCTAAGTTGTTCTGTTGACGGTCCCAGGACTCGGCGAGAGCCCACAGAGGCAGACAATAACAAATTAGCCCAGCGAGGGACCCAACAATAATCATCGGGCGGCCGTGAAGGGGGGGGACTTGAATGGGGAGCGAAGAAAAGGCCCCAAAGGGGCC